CACTGAGAACTCTTTAGTCTCCCTACATTTGCTTTGCACGTATATAATAGCTTGTAAGTCCCTCCACATAAGCCACACCTTTTGCTGGTGGGCTCTTCCATCTCCCAGAGCTTCAGGCAGCTCCAGTGACCAGAAGCTGGAACGTGACCCATTCAGATTAGAAACAAGGTGCAAATTCAAACAACACAGGTAGTTTAACAACTGGGACAATTTACCAGACTGTGCTGGCATCCATGATGGGCATTTTTAAATTAGGATACCGGATGTTTTTAAGTGATCACTGCGTTTCAAAAAGGAATTAATTCAGAACATCCTCTACTTAGTATTTACTCTGCATTACTATGTTGTATTATCCTATAATTGGTTGTTAGGTCAGGATTGCAGCCTGGCAGGTTCCTCTTCCTTGCCTAATTGGTGTTTCTTCCTCATTGCTCAGTGCAGGACTTGTTTTTGTACCCCTACAGATCTCCATCTCCTGCTTACACCTCCTCACAACTCACACCTATTCCCCCTCCACCCAGCAACGAGCCAGCCCTTCCCATGCAGAAGAACTGCTGTGTGCTCCAAATGGGCTGACACCAACTTCCTGACAAAACTGTTCAGCCTGAGGAGCTGGAGGCAGTGGAAGTGTTTCACACTTGGCAGCCCAGGCCAATTTGCCATTCAGACACTGTACATTTCCCTCCTGCCTAATCGGCAGCCCTGCGGTGACGTGAGTCATTGGCCTTCCCCTCCTCTCAGAGCATGGACTTCCCTGGGGCCCAGCCAACACATGGCACTGCACAGACGTGTGCCACGTGCAGATCTGGCTCTTGTGGTGATAAATCCTCCCCTACTGCACAGCCAGCCTGCTGTGCTACACCCACAGCCCCAGCACTTGCCTTATGTAGGGAGTTACTTCTTCATAACACAAGGCCTGTCTGTCTTCAGCCACCTAAAGTGCCTGAATATTCCATGGGGTGATAGTCAAATCACAGCATCACCCTAGTCATTGTGCAAACCTATTCTCCCTCTAGAACCTTCAGCCAGGCTCAGACAACCTCCTCCTGCTTGTTGGCCTCAAAAACATGCGCATTTCTCTACCCAGCCAATGGTCCTGCTTTTACAAAACCAGGTAGGAAGGTCAGAAGAATCTGGGTCCTCATGGCCTTTGTGAGACCACACATGAATATTGTACCAGGTCCTAGACAGAGAAGTACCAGAAATACTGGACACTGACAAACTGCAACAGAAACAGAGATAAACTGGAAGGAGTTTGTAGAAACCCCAAATGAAACCAGTTGGAAATGTCTGGCACAAAACACCAGGGAAGATTAAAAGAGTTAATCTGCATAGCTTGGCTGAACAGCACAACTCAACAGCTATAGCCTGGACTCAAAAGAAGATGAGAAACCGTACCCTGGTACATGGAACAGGCATTAGAGGTAATGAGGCAACACTAGTTTGGACAATGAGAGCGATCTGAGCAATTAGGAAGGGGATGCAAGGCCTGGATCACCTCTATCTACACACATTTGTAGAGCAGGGAAGGAACCTTGATCTTGTGCTGCCCCTGCTTCCAGAGCAAACACTTGCTGGGACTGCCCTGCCCTCAGCACCCCTGCAAGGCCCACAGTGGCTCACAGGGACATTATTTGTTCCAGACAGGACAGACCACGTAGGTCTTTGCATTTCCTCCTTCGGATGCCTTCAGGTTGTGTGTGGTGAGGCACTGGGGTGGACATGTGTTGTAGCATCAAAGCTGGCAACACGGGTGCAAGGAGAGCAGCTCCTGGAGTACGTGGCACTTCAGCTCTCCTAAGGACCCCAGTCCTTCCAACAGCACAGATGTGGTTTATGCAAACAGCCCAAACATTTTTTGGCCCTCAGGAGTGGGGGAAACTTATCAGATCAGCCTCTGATTTCCTCTGCTTCCACAGCACAAGCAAGTATGCAAAGAAGTAAGATGACATTTGGCTTCTTGCAGAGAACAGCAGATAATTTAGTAAGATTAAAGACCAGGCTCCTTCCTCTCCCACAGCAACAATCCCCGCCCGGCCGGGCAGCAGCCTGGCTCTGCTGGAAAGATGCTGCTCCAGCGCCTCTCTGTGGATCTGAGCTCCTCTTCCTCCCTCTCACAAACCCATCTCAATCCCCCAACCGATTTTTTTATTCTTATTTTATTTTACATTTTTAAATGTAGAGTCAACTTACTCCTCTTCTACCCAGGAAGCACCTCTGAGTTGACTGAACTTGGCACTAACTAGGAGTTGGCTCAGCCAGAACTCTTACTGCTTCACCTTTTGATGGGAATATTTATGATACCTCTCAAGGCCTTTCTGTAATTTCCAGCAGCAGAACAGATCAAACTAGTTCAGATTTACAGCTGCCTGGAGCTCACAGAGTCACCAGAAATGGAAGAATTGCTGGCATGGGCATTGTCTTTGGAATAAGCAATCAGGTGCCTCTGGTCCTCTCCAAAACATGCTGTGGAGCTGAGCACACAGCTCCATCACCAACACATGTGTCAACACACTGATCATGCTAATTTCTCTGTATTCCTTCGAAGAAGCAGGAAACAAATGATCCCCTGCTGAAGTCATGAGGAAAAACAAAGGCTCTTCATCAGCCTCCTGCAGCTGCTTGTTGTTTTCCTTTCTCTGTGGAGCCTGCCAGCTCCTGGTTAGCCTGGCCAAGCACACGATTAGGGTTTTAGAGAAAATTCAAACTGCAAACAAACAAGCACATCTTGAGATGAATACACACACACTGATGGATGCTCAGTACATCTAACTGTTCAGCAGATCCTGTTCTGCCTCTTCTTCTGATGCTAGGAAAGCCCTGCTCCTCCTCTGGATGCAAAGCAGAGGGGGTAGGATTAAGGGCACAGAGCCCCAAACCCTTTACATTTGCACAAGAATTAGACCCAGTGCTGTTCAAGGGGCCACATATGACTTGTGCTGGGTCTCTGCAGCACAGAAAGCAGTGCAGGAGTAGGAATTCTTCCCTGTGCTCAGTTATGGCAGAAGGTCCATTGTTTCTTAACCTATCACATAAATAAAATAATGAAGTTGTTACTTGCACCACAGCAAGAAGAGATGAAAGGATCAAGGATTGTTCCTTGTTCACTTCAATGCTGAGCCAGGTGGCTCAGTTCAAGCAGGCATTGAAGGTGGTTGAAGCTAACCTGCTTGACTTGGCACTGAAGCAGATGGCAAGTGCTCCCACAACCCAGTATCAATGTCCATAACACCCAGACGAGCTGTGAAGCTGCAATCTGTGGCAGATGGAAAATGACAGCACAAGAGGCTTTGCTATGGCCCTCAACGCCCTCCACAAAGGTAGCAAACAGGAAGGTTTTGTATTTTGTACTTTTCCAGAGCAAAACCAGGCATCTGAAACTGTGAAACAAGTCTCCCCTTTCCTGTCTCCACAAAAGACTTTATTTCCAGGGGACAAACTGAGATTTCTCATCAAAGCATAATACAAACTAAGACAACTTGCTATGAGAAACTGAAACAGGGCCCTGGCATGGGAGTGCCTACGTAGCTCAGTCTGTGCTGCATCCCTGGCACCCTGCACTGGTGCTTTGCTCAACCTTTAAGGGAGTCATAAGAGGGAGATCTGGAAAAAATGCAGCTCATTCGTGCACCCAGATTGGAGTGGTTGTTGGCAGATCTGCAGATTCTTTGTGGATTAGGCAGTCATCTGAGAAGCACAACCAGTTGTAAAAAGATTGAGGCTTTCTCATGGGTTTTATGCTCAAGAAAGCAAATGTTTGCTATGCTGAGAATGAATGTTTGGGGTCTCCTCCCCTATAGCCCCTCAAGTTCCAGGAGACCCGACTGCCTCGAGAGCAACAAAGATGCCCAGTGCAAGCCACAGTTACACTGTCAGCCCCCCACTGAGTGCTCCCACTCTGCAGCTCATCTCTAGGTCCTGCCAGCCTCCCACAGGATTACAGGCCTGAAAATAGTAACCTGTGAAAAACAGACCTCAGAGCCTGCATGGTTTTTTGTCCCACCTGACAAGTACACAGGGCAAGCTACTAACTTAATCTATTTCTAGAGTAACAAATACATGAGTGCTTGGCCCTCGCATTGCCCCTGCTAATTGTTCTGTGTTGCCTGATGCTTCAGCTTTTTATGGTCTTTGACCAACATGCTGACCATGCTCCTGGCCTGTCTGAACCTCCTGGTTCCTCTGAACCTCCCCAGCTTCTGCCCTGCTCCTCAGTGGCATCAATACTTGGCTTTAACACCAGTTGTAGCCTGACCTTAAACCAGAGAGTCTGTCTGCCCATTTCCAGACTGCAATTCCTAAGTAGTCCTACCCCAAAGCTGCCTGCTTTGAAGTCAAAAGAAACAACTAGGCTGAGGAACAGTCTGCAGTGCCACTGCTGCTTGGCCCTGCTATGCTCTGGAGGATGCCACGTTCATGGCTGATTTGCTGCCTGGTTTGGAAAGACCAGATATCATGTTAAGCAGTAGGATGCTGCTGCCTACCCATGTGGGTCAGAGCAGAAGATGAGACACACTGGTGAGCCCCAGCAACAGGAGAGAACATCAGAGTCTGTTAAGTGTCAGTCCTGTGAGAAGCAAGAGACTTTTACTGGAGAAAAGGCTTTATTAAGGAGAGACATTGGAACATACCATGTTTCTCTGACGCTCCAGTTCCTTGGGAGGACTCAGAGCTCCAGCACAAATACTTAACTGAACCACACAGGTGCTGAGTGAGAGGTCTGTCTTGCCTCAAGACTCCTCCACTAACAGTGTTTGTCTCTGATGAGGAGAAGTGGAACCCTGCTGGAACAGGCTGAGGGTCAGGTAAGGAGAGAGGCAGGGAACAGATTCCCATGGCTGAGCAGTGGCAGGCAGGCAGCTGCTGCCCATGACAAATTGCTCCAGGCTGGAAAGCAGCAGGATAGATCTGAATAAAGTCACTGTCAAAATATCAATGCTGGTTTGTGGGTCTGCAGGACTGTGGCAGTGCAGAGCCTGGTCCCCAGGTTGCAAGTCTGACTATGGCTTCTTCTGTCCCTTCAGCTTCTCTCTCTCCTCATCCATGGCAGCTGCTTGTGCCTGCAGCCGACTCCAGTACTCGGGCAACTGCTCCCCGAGCCCCAGCAGGCTCTGCTGCCTAATGAGGGAACAAAAGGGCAGTTAAAACAGTCCCTGCCATTCTCCCAGTGCTCAGACAACTCCAGCCTGGCTCCCCAGGGGTCCCTGGGGCTCAGTGCAAATTAAGAAATTCAGATTTCTTGTGTCCAAAAAACCTCCTGAGTCCCTCATGTCACTGAGCTCTCAAGTTCGCTGCTCAGGACAGCAAAGACCTCCCTGTTTCTCCCTGCCTGTCAGGCTCTGCAGTCACTGGTCTCACTGCAGTTCTAGCTGCTCTGCCTTGAGCTCTCAGTCCCCAGGGAGCAGGGTATCCCTGCAGGTGAGGCTCCCCTTTTTTCTGGGGATAAGGCAGACAAGAGGCTCCTCTCCAGCTCCATGAGAAGGAGGGACAGAACCGGTGGCACGTAGCACAGAATGAAACTTTTCTGCACCTAAATAGCCAGGCAACACCCCAGGCTTCACCCTGGAGACAAGGAATTAGGGAAGCCCACCAAGTAAGATGCGCTGTCAGGTCAAACCTGCAGCTACCGGTTCCATTTCAAATTGGAGAATTAAGGCATCATGAAAAGAACAAACAAAATAGCAATGACACGGCGCTGGCTCCAAGTTCCCAACAGACGTGATTCGAGGAAAAGGGAGCCCAATAAGAGATGCCACATTGCCATCTAGTGATGCCGTGAGCTCAGTGCATCAGCGAAGCCCGGGCAGAGGTGCTGGGGCCCTTCTCGAACCGAGAACCACCCAGCACAGAGCTGTTCAGTCATCAAATGAACCTGGGAATGAAGGGGAGGAGCAAGGTACAAAATAACCTCTCTTCTGCCTGGCTATGCAATCCGAAGGAAGAAGAAAACACTTGAGTGAGGATCATGTTCCGTGACAAACCTGCACAATCCGAGTTGCACAAAAGCACATTGAAAGCAGCAAGCCCTCCCAACCCGCAGTGACAAGCAGGCATCCTGACTTATAGCTGCTCCAGGAGTTGTTCCAGGAGGGCAGAAAGGAGAGGAGGAAGGATTCTGGGTAGCTGTCAGGAATCCAGCTACCTTAACATCAACCTTACTCAGACGTAAATTTCTCACAGCACACAGAAGAACCCAGGAACTCCAGGGTGAATCCTTGCATGGACCTGAGCAACCTCACTGCTTACAATAAGGCAGGTGCACTTACCTACCAGGCAAAAGGAGAATCTTACCTGTCATGTAAGAAAATGTTACATCTCTCAAGCCATGGCAGGTTCTGCAAGGATTTCAGAGGCAAACATGGTTCCTTTGGAAAAGCCTCCTTCAGTGGGTAGGAATTAAAGTCAAAAACGAAGATGGTGCTGCAAATGACTCCATTCTGTTCTGATTCCTCTGTCTGCTGCTGCTTATCTCCTAGATCATCTCCTAGAAACCAGAACAAGGCTGTTGTACCAGGAGTCATCCATAAGAAGAACTGTCATGGATCAGTGCAGAGCTGAATGTACCCAGTGACCATGTATCTAAGACCACTGCAAGGTGCTACCCACCTCTGAGCAGCAAGCAGCCATTCACACTATCCACTGTGAACACTGGCTGCCAGGGGGATGCTACAGCATGAGAAGGTGGAGTATTGAAGTGGGAAACAATCTGTGCAGTGGCAGTGTTCATCAGGGACACTGTGCCATCCCAGGAGAAGATCAAGGCCTGAAACAGCAAATTGATACTTAGAAATAGATGTAAAAAAAGTGAAAACCATTTCCCGCAAAGGACATGGAATGACATTCAGGATTTCATATCCCCAGTTATGATGCTGTTTTCTTTGCCTGCTCAGTAGTCATAGGGTCACAGCATATCAAGAAAAGGTCATGCAGGGAACTTGGACTGGAATTACTGCAGGTTGGAACTGGAAAAGGGCAGCAGAGCAGGCTAGAAATGAACTAGCTCCAGCCTTCCATATGGATGGTTCTGGCAAGTGGCTTTAGTCCTTTCCTCCCCATGTTTGAAAACTTTCTGAGGCCACTTGAAAGGTCTGGCTGAACCTGTGCATGTAACTTCTTCTCACTGTGATGCCTTCTCATATTTCACCCTGATGCCTGAAGCTTCACAGCTGAACATGCTCATCTTTGCAGTTGGACCTGTCCATGTGCAGGGGCCCTCCTGTGCCTCCCACCTCAGTGGTCAATTAGAGGACATCAGTGCAGGGGGATATTGAGTAAGATCATGGAACAGAAATCCTTTGAGTGACCAGCTACTGACAGACCTGTAACCCATGCTAAAAATAATTGAAGGCTGGGAAAGGATGTGAGGGCAATACCACATCTGATTGCCCTGCTCTTTGGCTTATAGACACACAGTTAGAGTTGCTACTGGAAGCAAGATCCTAGGCCAGACAGTCCTGTGATCTTACCCAGTTCCTAGGAGAGCAGGCAGGAATACTCACTGCACTGGGGAATGCCAGGAGAGGCACCAGGGCACTGATAGCAAGATTTGGATCTTCAGGCCTGTAAAACAGACCCAGGATTATGGCATTGCTGAATGTACCTGGCATGAGAGGCTGCGACAGTGACAATGGCAATTTATGGCACATGGGCTGGCATAAAGTTCCAGCCAAGCCCCTTCCCTATAGAGACAAACCCTGCCTCCTCCTGGGCAGGGACCCCCCGAGACCCTTCCCTGTGCCTAAGAGCTGTTCTGGAGCTACAAATCCCCTGCCTACCATGGAGGCATGAAACCACAGCCTTCAGAGCAGCAGCTTCCCCAGAGCTGCCCCTTCTCCTCAAACCAAGGTGACAAGTGAAGAAAAAAAAAAAAAAAAAAAAAGATAGCGGGCAAGAAATGCTTCTTCTGACTTCTAGGGGGAAGTTATTCTGGTAAGGGGAGAAAAGAGAAGAAAAAGTGCCCCTGGCAGTCACCCAGCTGGTTGAACACCAGTCCTGAAGCAGTGCCATGAGCACTTGTGTTCTAGTATATAAAAGAACCCAGAAACACCCCTAGTTTTGGCATAGCCATGGATTTTAGGACTGGAACTGACTCCTAGCAAACTGACAGCAGCATGGCAGAGCCATCTGGGTAAAAGCAGCAGGAAGTTCTCTACCCCAGAGAAATCTGGGGCTCTCTGCTGGACCTGCCCACTGTGCACACAGTTCCTTTGGCTGGAGGGAGGTGTATCAGACTCTACCTCACCTTTCTGCCAGGAGTGTGATGCTGGACTTCCCAGACCTGGGTGCTTTCACCAAATAGAGTGAGCTGTCTGTACACAGCACGAGAAGCTGCACGATGGGACAGGCAGGATCTGTACCAGGGCAAGGTGCCACCTCACTGGCAGCTGCAGGGCTCTGCAGGAAGTGGATACTACGGATGAGACGTTCCTCTAGAATGGCAGTCACAGACAGTGGGCATCCTGGGAAGACAGGGGAAAAACCAAAAAGAGAAACAAAACAAAATAAAACCAAAACAAACAAAACAAACCCACAAAACAAACAAACAAAAAAAAGACAGAAGTTCAGGAAGAAAAATGAGCAGCAGCCACCAGAAAACTCCTGATGGCAGAAGACAATTCTTCTGCCAGGAAAATCTCTGCATCATGGTAGGATGACACTAGCACTGAGGGCTGCCTGGACTGTGATGCCACAACAGCCTCAACAGTGACCTGAGGGTGAAGTGACAAAGTAGTGACTGTCACTGGCTGACAGCCTTGGGGAAGACAGTTCTCACTGCAGTAGTTGATGGCCCCTGCAAGGGCTAGAACAGCCATGCTGCATTTGCAACTTCTGGCCAAACATCCAATAAAAAAGTCAGTCCAAACTATTTTCAGATTTGCTGTTCCTGCCAAGCCAGGCTCAAACTCCTAGGGAAGGGAGCAGTTCACAGAATCATAGAATGCCAGGTTGGAAGGGAACTCAAGGATCATCTGTTCCAACTTTTCTAGGTACTACTATAGTTCATATGAGATGGCTCAGCACCCCGTCAAACTGAGAATTAAAAATGTCCAATGTGGGAGAATCTACCACTTCCCTTGGGAGACTATTCCTATGCTTGACTGCCCTCATGGTGAAAAATTTACCTCTTGTGTCCAATTGGAATCTCTCCAGGAGCAACTTGTGCCCGTTACCCCTTGTCTTTTCCATGTGACTCCTTGTAAATATGGAGCCACTAACTTCTTGGGAGCCACCCCTTAAGTACTGGAACAATTCACCCACAGTGATCCCAATACACAGTCCCAAAAGGCAATCTCACCTAGGTGTTTGTCCCAGATAGTTATTACTGCATCTTCAAATGCCAGTGCCAGGTACCTGAAGCAGGAACTAAGAGCTGAGCATGCAATTGGAGCTGCACATGGCCACACAACATCAGGTTTCGGATCAGAGTCTAAAAAGAATGACACGAAGAGACATCTGTAAGAAGGCGCAGAGCATCCACTCTCATGGTACTAGCATCCAGTTTCCCAATAAAATACGCACCATTCTGTGGCTTCCTTCCAGAGTGGCTTCATCAAAAATTCTGCTAGCCTGTGCAACATGAAGCCCCACCACCCAAAAGGCAGCCCAACCCACAAGATAGGAGGCAGCTTTCCTCCTCATTCCCCACTTCCCTGAATTGTGAAGATCTCACTGAATGGCAGCCACTGGCCACTGAGTATCTCCACTCCCCACAGACCACTCAACTAGAGAGAGCTGGACTTTCTTACCCGCTTTCTCCCTACGTGAATAGTTAAGGAAGTACAAGCAGAGATTGTGGTTTCCATCCCAATGCACACTGATGGCAGCTGGAACATCTGGGACATAGAAGGGGATGAGTAAAGAGAGAAGGAGACTGAAGACAAAGAAACAATCCAGGACACTAAAACACCATTAGAAAGCTCTCATTAGAGCTCTCATGGTTTCCCTGATGGGATGTACAGAAAATCAGCTCACATAGAAACTAAATCACAACAAAATTTCCCCTTTTCTATTATTTTTATCTTGCCCTTGTGACCCTTCATCTTTTCTTGGTGGTTTGGGTGTTCTTTGTGCTGTTTTTTCTTAACTGTGGAGCTAAGTTTGTTTGACCCCATGCCAGATACTGACTTAGAAGCCTTAGGGCTGACATTTTATGTCCCTGGAGATGGATTCTCTATAGAGAACACAAGCCATAGCCACTGAGCTCTAACGGAAGCTCGATGTCATGCAAAGATGTATTTCAGAGGGTAACAGCTTTTTGCTCATTTGCATTACCTGGCTTTACTTTCTTTTCATGCCCTGATACCTGTGGTATCTGGCTAGGCAGGAGAAAATAAAATGTAGCATGTCTGGAAAAAAGGAAATAAGAAATAGCTGTAAAAGAAAGGCCTTGATAAGTAGGCAGCACTGCAATAAGACCTAGAATTATTCTAGTCCCCTGCCCTGAAGCCCTGGGATGAAGGAGGCAAAGCTAAGACAAAGGCTTCCATCTACACTCATAAAGTGTTGAAGTCTCATGGACTGAAATTCTGGTGTTCCCACTCACCTGGGGATCTCCTCCTTGCTCTGTGTCTCACCCGCAGCCTTGAGATACTCCTGATAAGTGCTACAGAAGATTGCTTCATGCTGCTCCCACTGGGAGTCCTTGATTAGGTGGTTGTACCCCAAGCCAAGCATGTTGCCATAATCCACTTTCTTCAAGGCATCCAAAGGGCTTTTAAAACTAGTACCTGGATTTGGAACACAAAGGGAAGAGGCACAGCCCTGGAGGAGCAGACAGCATTGAGTGCTCAGAGGTGCTTCCACGGTTCCTCCTTCAGGGTGGCACTGTCTGGAAGGACACACTGCATCTTCCTGATAGAAGTATTTCAACATCAAGAAGGGTTCCGAGGGACTTCCCATATCACCAGGCCATTTTCCAGTATCTGCAGGCAGGACTTGGGCATGTCATCTGAGGACCCAGCTCACTTTGCTTTGCCTTTCTGTGATGTTCTCCCTGACAGTGTCCCAGCATAAGGTCTGCTCCCTCCCCATCCTCAGCATTTTCCTACCAATCCAGAGCTCAGAGTGACAAACTAGGGGTGGTGCCAGGTTCCTAGGATCTAGGAAACAACCTCACCAGTGACAATGAGGCCGGGGGTCTAGGACATTCACTTTGAGACACACTGAAGTATTTTGTGCAACCAAAAGTGACACTTGAGATGGTCAGATAAGAAACAACCCCCACTACAGGATTACATGTAACTACAAAGACAGGTCACGAAGGCACCAGGGAGAATAGAACTGAAACTTTCTGACCTGGTCTGTGGTCATAAGGGCAATGATTCTTTTGCCACCTGAAGGAGGCTGCAGGTTGCAAGTACAGTCCTGACCTGTAATGGGTTTGGGTGGCTTCACTTTCAGCAGCAGCACTGGGAGTCTCAGCTTCATACCAGATCTGCTTGTGACAGATTCCTGCAACAGAAAAACTTCAGTCTGAAAACTCTGCTGTGCCCTACACTGCTAAGTTTTCACCCATTCATGGGAATCAAATGCTTCCTAAAGACACTGCATGGAAAGGTTGGCTGACAATGCCTATAAGATGCTGGTTTTAGGCTCATTCTTCAGGCCAAAACTCAGAAGACCGAGGGAGGACACTACTTTCTCAACATTACAAAGGATGCCCTGCCCAGACACCTCCTGTCTTTGTGCCCTAAATAACCTCCACTTCTGGTTTTACTAATCTCTCTGAATTACCCTTGTTGTAGCACAGGCCTGGGAGAGGCAGAGCAAAGTTCAGGAAGAAAAAGAAAAAAAAGGACAAAAAAAAAAAGGGGGGGGGGGTACGAAAGTTTGCAGTGTTGCTGAACACAGGAACCAGTTTTACTTCAGAGAACTCAGGACTGGAGAAGATCACTTATGTGCTTGGCTGGGAAGAGAAAATCCTAACAGGGGGCCAATACAGGTGTGTCCCCTGTGTCCCCACCACCCACACATACTGACACAGACTAAGATCTGGCTAAATGATCAACCACATCTGAGATGGAAGAGGCAGGAACTTGTTTACATGGAATCAGTGAAGAGGAAACACCTGGGTGTTTGCTTTTGGCTTGGCTAAGTTAAGGATTCTGGGCAGGAGGCACCTGTGTGTTGAGAGGTGAAATGTAGCAGGGTGCAAGTGATGCAGGAGGGGGTGAAGCAGCAACTCAGCATTTCAAAATCCCCATAACAGCTCAAGACATTCATTGAGGCCAGTTACCACATCTGAAAAACTGTCTCCATACTGGTCCAGACTTTTCTGCCAAAGAACCAGAGATGACAGTGGTTAGTGCAGCCAGGCAGAGACCCTGGCCTGCTCAGGCAGCTTTGGCCATGTACCCACCCCACCCCTTGTAGATAGTCTAAAACATGAACCCACGTCAGAGGCCCTGCTGGGACCAGACTCCCAAGCAGAGGTCTCAAGCCCAGTTCCCACTCTGCTCCTTCACCTTTCCCCAGTAACATAAGGAAGAAGCCTTGTGGGAATACCCTTACATAGGGCCTCCTCAGATGGGGCAATACTGCTGGGAAAGGAATTGCCAGTTTCAGGGAGGGGCAGGAGGAATGCTAGCCCTGGGACCAAGGGATCCTCACTGGAAAGCCCGTTTTGGGACAGTAAACATGTCCCAATAAGACAAAGGCCTTATGAAACATGGGATAGGCAGCTGTACAGCTGTAGAGACATCTAGTCCATCCCCTGGGCTGATAGGCTTGTTCAGCCTGTATCTGGCTACCACTATCTGCAGGAGCAAGGCTTGGGGGAAGACCTGTAGGCAAAAATGTAGAGGAAGAAGTCCCACAGTGGGACATGTCACTGGTTTGTACCATTGATACCCAGCTTGACCTCCTCTCCCTGCCAGCAGCTCCTGGGCTCCCTTCCAGCACCTTCAGCCAGGAATCCTTAGGCAATCGGTAGATATCCAGCCAAGCTTTTGTGCTGTCTGCGTTGGGAAACCATGTTGAGAAATTGGAAATCAGGAGAAAAGGTCTTTCAAGCAAGCAGCCTCTGTCATCTTAAATACTTAAAAGAAGATTTGGAAATGTTTTGAAATATAAAACACATGGCAGGCCACCTGTCCTCTCACTTAAGGCCGGACACACTTGACTGAGACTGACATCTCAGCCTCCAGCTCAAGTCCTCACGGTCCCACATCCACCAAATAAATCCCATCAAGTGACTCAGTCAAAGAATTTGACCTGTAGCCTCTCAAGTGAAGTAGAAAGTGAGACCCAGTCTCTGTGGATGTTACCTATCCAATTATCAGCATGTGTCCAGGCAGACTGCACCAAATGTAAGAGCAGAAAACCTGCTAGCAGCAAATGAGCTGACCAAGGCAGCTGCCATGAAACAGAAGAATGTTGTAGCAAGAAGTTTGTTGCAGTGTTTTTAGAGACTGTCTCTGTGCTGGCTGGCTTATGTCTGCAGAGAAAATTCTCCAAGTTCACATATTTTTCAGTGTAAAGGTGAACCACAGCAAACCAGAGTTTGGTACTTCTGGAGAGGAGAGGGAAACCTGCTTTCACTGACCCTTCTGGGAACTGCACCGACCGGTCCCAGGGAGCTCCCCTTTGGGATTAGTCCAGATCCACACCAGACCTTTTGGAAAGATCAGGGAGTGGCAGGAGCAGCTCTCTTAAGCAGGAGGAGACACTGGCCAGGAACACAGAAGGCTTAGAGCATTTAAAGAGTATGTCTGTTAGGACCCAGCAGCCCTCACCCAGCACACCAAGCTGTTGCACTTGCCTTGCAGCAGGACTCCTGCACAATACCCCCCCGGGGGCAGCACCATCTCCACACAAACACTTTGCTTGCTGAGATCCTCCTGCCAAAGAAAAACAGGCTGCCATCAAAGCAGCCTGATCCAGAGGCTTCACACAGTTCTCAACAGGGTGAAGGCCAGACAGATTGTTGGAAGAACAGGAATAAATAATTGGGCAGCACTCTCCAATTTTTCCTCAGAGACATTCCTGAGGGCAATTACTCCTCTTTGTTACTTACTGCCCTGTGCCCAGTGTCTATGGAATTAACACACTACTTACCGTTCCATTTAGGATTTTAACAAGTTGGAAGCCTTCATTGTGAAAGCAGAAGAGCCAGACAAGCCCTGGAAGAGAAATACAGAAGTAGCTGTATGAGGAGAAGTGAACAGATGGTAGCCATGCTCTCAGGAGGTGGCTGTTACAATATGTGCAGGATAGTGGACAGCACTTCAGTTTTTCCTGGGCTCAAGGAAGACTATCCCACTACTTCCAGCACCAGCAAGCACTTGATTACACATAGAGATGGATAAGCCAGCTTGAAAAGTACCTCCATCAGAATTGACAGGTTTCCAATGAATCAACAAACTAAGCTGCTTGCCAGAGGGCTGTGGAGTTACAGGTGCTGAGGCAAAGCACAGGCAGGAGGTCATACCTAGCAATAGTTCTTTCTCTCTGGTCCAAGATATTCCTAAAATTAACTGCACTTCTCTCTCAGTTCTGCATCTGCCTCTGCTGCTCCAGAGAGACTCCAAACCCACACTCTCTACTAATCACAAGGTCCTAAGGCCACTCTGTCACCCTACAACCTCTCATCTTATGCTGTCTTTGCAGGGCTTTCTAGGAAACCTGTCAGCCATTCTAATGTTCCTCCTGACTCAGCACTCTTCCATGCTGCAGCTGCCAACTGTTGAGCTCCAGAGCACAGCCACCTCCTTCTGGGTCAAGGAAATCCATGTCACACTCACCCATTTCATCCACAGCAAGCAGGACATGGCACTCATTCCCCAACTCTGAGGCACGGATGGCACAAATCTCTGTCTTGACTGCATCCCAAACACAGGCCTCCTCAGAGTTAGACACCTCAAAGGCAGCCAGACCCCAAGACAGGCCAACAAAGATGTATTTTCCAGACACCACAAGACAATTGGCTCTTCCAAATACCTGTCAAGAAAGGCAAAAGGTGAGTGTAGCCAGCAGTGGAGGATCCATCGTACCAGCCATTTACTCCTGGGCTTTCAGCAACACAAAAGGCTGATT